AAACAAGACACATGACTAAAACAACCAATCAGAACATGACACATACACAAGGCAGAGATACATGAGGGCAAGGGAAGCATGACACAAACAGGGACCATGATTAAACTCCAAAATAAAAGACATGAAACCATGAACAAGAAACACACCCAAAACACCACATTACATAAATATCAACTTTTCCTTCTCTAAATTTAGCACCGTTCAACAACTGGGGCTGGCAATTGTGTGAAGTGTTCATTTTCTACATAAAAAAAAAATATATAATAATAATAATAATAATAAAATAAAATAAAACAATAAAAAAAACACATTTAGTCATGCTGCTTACACTGCTCAACTAAAAATAAAAAATTGTCATTTTTCCGACGTAACATACCTAAACATCCTTAAAACAAGACAAATTTACATGAGAAGGACATTTGTGTAAGGTATTAAGAATTATTAATTTTGTGTGTACAATCATACACCTCACTAAATTACCTTATCTTAATTTACTTAAAAATAATTTACTAATAAATTAAAATAAATAAATAGAAATAAAAAAAAATCTAATAAACATATTGACTTGTGAAGTCACCTCTGTGCATGTCTATTCAGTGCTTTACTGTCTTTGAATTAAAACTGTCTTATATTATTATCGAATTTACTGTCTTAATTTGTACGTTTTTCTCATCAAGTGCTAATAAATGCAATTTGCATTTTAAATCAGCGTGTTGTGTAATTGTATTATTTTTATTTTTTTATATATATATATAGTTGATTGACCCTAGTAGCAACTCCAGATTATGCATCTTAAGTACAAATTCAGTCTAGATTTTTTAGCAATGCATAAAGTGAAGAATGATCCAGATCTGTTCAAGGACTTATGACAAGATACACATGAAAATATATAACATATAAAGAAACACAAAGATATACGAATTACATAACATGCTGTAGCAGGCAATAACTGCCGGACAAAGAAAACATAAACAAGCACACACGATTTCTATTCTGTTTGGCCTTTTCCTGCTGTTTATTTTACATCAGACCTTAAGGACTATAATCCTTCATTCTTTGGCAGTATGATATGGGTGGCCGAAGCCAGAGGGGACGAGTATGATGAAAGACGCCACATTCTGAAGCCTCATTTGAAGGTACAGGATTTCCCCGCTCCTCCCTTTCTTTCTCATTAACGGGAGCATAAATGTTTATTTAGGGTAAGGGACTGCCGTTCAGAATATTGTACCACGGTAAACTCCAGAGGGGAGTCAGATTGGTCAGCTAATGAGTCCTGACAGAGGCAGCAGCTTCCAGAAGCTCCTGAAAAATGATTTTGTTAATATCCTCTCCGTTTTCTGCCTCTTCATCATCCACATGATATGGCAGGAGATAATGTGAACCAGTCAAGTGTTTGCAAGTTTTAAGAAAATGTATAGCATATGCGAACAAACACAAACACTGAAGATGGATGTGGAGCGTCATGACCTGAAATACTTGGCTTGATTTAGAATAATATTTCCTTCTTAAAAAACAATTATTTAAGCAATAAAGTACTAGAGGCTGTACTGTATTATGATGTGCAAGTATATGTGCTGTGCAGTGAAGCCAGGACCTGAACTGTTTTCTAAAAGCTGTTTTAGCATTAGAAATGTGAATTGACTTCTTGTGATCATGCTAAGCAAGAAGTCCAAGTGAAGAGAGTTACTATTATGGATTTGGCAGCAAAGAGGAGGAATTACTTAAATAAGGTCAAGGGCAAGATTAAGAGGCTTATTTAATCAAGACAAACATTTATAATCTCTAAGACTAATAGGAAGTTTTCAAAACACTTGGATTGACAAAATTACAGTTTGTTTATATAGCTCTTGATAGAAAAAAAAAAACTATGCAAACAAACAATACAAAACAATACCAAATACATAAAATGCAAACCACAAAAAATGGAGATTAAAAATAATAGTTTTAAATATCAAAGGATGAGTGGATATAACAATGCATTTTGTCCAGTATTACTCATATTTATGTAAATTCTCAAATAGAAATATAAATAAATATTTGATAAAATTGTCATATACCTGTATATAAAATATTCATATTTGTGCTATTCAAAGATGCACTCGTTCTTTCATTTTTGTTAATATTTTCACAAAGTTTTCATTCTTTTTGGTCTTCTATTGAAATATACACAGTATGACTCAGCACTCTGAGCCAAGAGAACACAACACCAAGCTCTATGCATGAGTCATTGACTGACAAGATAAAGCCTTATAGCCCGTTATTTCATGAGGTGGCCTCAGTGAAGCAGTTATAATATTTATCATAAGATATTGTCACTCAGCTTATGTAACACTGCTAGCACCAACACCACCAAATAACACTGCTCCTCAAATGAATAAGGTAACAGATTACACAATCCATCCATTTGAACTGTTTTTAAACCTCGTAATACAGATCTGTATGTATATATATATACATACATCTAGCCACTGAGATGCTGAGTGATTGATCAGGAATTTATAGGTTCTTACCAGTCAGGTACTCTGGATCAGGTACTGGGTCAGACAGCTCCTCATGACACTGGGCTTCAGTCGGCACAGATGCAACCACCATGCCATCCGGGAGCTGCTGCTCGATGCCACGGGCAAAGTTCTTCTGCCTAGACAGCAGAAGATAAAGGAGACAATCTACTCAAAGCACAGTCTCATGTTCACTCATCTGTCACTCACACAAATCCTACATTTCTGGCACATCATTGTAGCAAAATCTACAGAAAAACATATGAGCAGCATTGTCCGTTAAAAGCTCATATGTTAGTGTTTACTGGCTATTTTGATGTACATTATCGATAATTTACAATATTTTTTTTCTTCTCTTCATTTAGCATTATTGTTCAAATGGGTTTCATTTTATTGATCAAATTGCCATGAAACACCACCTTTTTGCACTTAGCAGGTCATTTAAATAAAACATAAAATGTATACAAAATATGTTATAATATTAGGCAGAGGCTATTTGTGTGTTATTTAAGTGCACTAAGTGCAAATAGCTTTAGATGCTATTTACACTAAGTGAAAATAGCAGTATTTTCTTTGCACTAAGTGTAAATATTGTTAGATGCTATTTATATATTTATACTTATTACAAATAGTGGCAAATGCTATTTTCACCTCAGTGTATTATAGGGCATTGTATAACAGGATGCTACATATTCAGTGTATATGATTCTATTTATTAAAGTCATAAATGAATGCTGGCTTATTAGGAACTTGAGGTGGATTTGAACTCTTGTCAGTCACTATTTGCACTTAGTAGAAATAGACATTCTATGTATTTGTTAATATTTGGTTTAGATAAAATATAATTTAAAACGAAGGAGTGAATAAAGTGTAAGTGGATAGGATACATTGAAATGGTGTTAAGAGATTATTTTCCATAATATGGCATAAATATCACGGGGTAGCATTAAAAGAAGTTAGAGGAGCTCAAAGAGAACAAGAAAAAGCAAACTGAAAAAAGCAGTGCACAAAAGAATGACTGTATATCTAAATTAGATCTGCTGAAGTACTATAGACTTGAGGAAAGAGTAAGAAAATACAGTTTGAGTTTAAACAAGAAAATAGAGGGACAAAAGTGAGAAGATGGGTTTCAAAGCAATGTGAGCAAATAATAAGTATGCATCGGACAGAAGGACTGATGGAAAGGGATAAACTGACAACAGTGAAAGACACAAAGATGCACAAACTCTGCATTCTGCATAGAAGCTCTGACTCAATTTCTCTCTATGTATCTTAAGTTAGATCAAGGTTAATGTATTCTGGGACCGAGTGTATACATGTGTGGAAACTGAACAATGCGATATAAAAAATGTATGTCAAAGAAAAGTATGAATAAAAGAAGAATAGGAGAATATAGAATAAACTCTTTCCTTTTCAAGGAAAAATAAGCACCTAGAAAGCACACCAGGGAAATACATAGAATGCAACAAAATTTTAGAATGATGCCTACTAGAGCATCTAGTAAATGAGCGAGCATTCAGAAAATTGTGCCAGGCAACATTATACAATCTACATCTTTCTTCAAGCATTACTGTCATATCCAACTAATAAAGTGGACTTGGATGAAATAATTATATTATCTCTAAATAAACAGAGCACTGTATAAATAATTGGGCTTAAACGGGAGAGAAAAAAAGCCAGAGGCTTGCAATATGCCCTTAATCTTAATATGAGAATGAAAAATGGCTGAAGTGGAACAGACTGTCATTTATATTCGACAAACAGTCATATATGTGGAGGTCTACAGTGCTAAATACCCCCGATTCCTGGATGACTCAAAACGTTGAGCTATTTATAAAGAAAACAGCCATTTACTTGGCTAAATAATAGTAATATCCCCTATTATTTGTAACCCAGAACATTACAAATCAGATTCTACTGATGAATATTAGATTGTAGGTTTTCCAGGGCAAATTAAATCTGGCATAAACCTCAAAACTGTTCCCAAATACGCCCTCTCGGGTGTGCTGGAAGGTACACTGGAGCACATTCTGCAGAAATGTCTTTGAGCACCGGGGGATTTCCTCCCCACATCTAATAAAAATGTATAAAAGTTGTTTCTCTTGTCAAACTTGAAGCTCACGCGTCAATAGATACTTGCATATTGAAATATTAATAGCTCTGTGTTATTGCTTGTCAAAATCCCATCTGATAAAAGGTTCAGTTCCCCACGGAGCCGGTCCAGCTAAATAGAAATGTGCAATAAACTTAGGGGCCAGTAATTTTAATGAAAATGATGCATATGGTTCTAAAGTTTCTGAAATTATTACTGGGCAACAACTGCGGCTATAACCCCTGTGAATTAAAATGTCTGAATTTTGGTGCATAGTAATAAAAACAATAAAGCAATATTAAATATAAATGCATTACAAAAATTACAAAAAATAAAATATTTAACAGATACACTTGCATGTTGTCTAAAGCTTTAAAGGGGTCATATGATGCTATTTTAAAGATCATTATTTTGTGTATTTGGTATAACAGAATATGTTGACATGCTTTAATGTTCAAAAAACACATTATTTTTCAAATACTGTACATTATTGTAGGTCCTCTATGCCCCGCCTCTCTCAAACACATCGTTTTCAACAAAGCCCCCTCCTTTGACAAGCGCAGTCTGCTCTGATTGGCCAGCTGACCAAGTGCATTGTGATTGGCCGAACACCGCAAGCACTCGTC